CTGTTGAGCTATTGAATTGTGGTAGAGCAGTAAGTTTTGCGGCATACATTTAACTGTCATAGCCTGGCACTCCTGCTGAATTTTGCATGGCACCCATCTCCATTTTGCATGAATGTTTTTCGTTTAAGTTATTGATCTTCTCATGAAAACAAGATGATCATTTGCTTTATTGTTTATTATGTAAATGGATGAAGTATGTAAACCCAGGTTGTCCAGCAGGAAATGAAAGCCTTTGAATATAACTATCTAAAGTAAAGTGGTCCTTGAGGCAAATGTTTTGTCAGCATTGCTCCAACAACTTGTGCACCACAGTGTCCCTGGTTGATAACAAGCCTCACTTTTTCCAGCATTGTCAAATAGTTTGTACTGTCCCATGGGAATAGGTGTATCACTCAGAGGGGAAGAATGTGAAAGTAGTGGGCACGATCAGGTGTTGCTCCTTTTTCGAATTGCTGATAGTGACATTCATACAACATTTCCTGGTTCCACCTCGGCTACGAGTTGTTTCAGTGTTAAAGGCAATTATGCTACCTCTACAAGAAGAGCTTTAGCGTTTTTTTCTCCCAAACAACAAACCTTTTGGCTGGGCAGTTTGCGATACTAAGGAGACGATGAAAACAAGTGCTATAACAATACAGAGGGCTACGAAGTTCATTGCCTTGTTACGACAGCTCCACTTCAATACCAAAATTCACACCTGTGCCCTGAATATTTTTTTGTTGGGAAAGATATGTTGCAGAGCAGGTTCGAAAGAAACTTTCTTGAAAGTGGGAACCTTATCTGTTAAGGCTAGGGCTTATCCCCGCCAAATAAAAACAAACAAGATGAATTTTAAAAATGCCGCTTATCGCCGCTATAGTGTTACTATGGAAATATTGTCATTCCCATTCCTTTTCGCGCGTAAATTTTCAAGCATGCGCACTCATTTTGCCGCTGCGTCGGAGTTTTCTATGAAACCGTTGACTCTTTCGTGCTTGATAAGTGCTGTACGTCACTAAGACCGCAAGTTTCTCCAACGCGAAAAGTAGCTCAAAAGTAATTGGGAGAGGTCCACAAGTGGCCCCAATGATAACCACCATCCCTGCCTCTATATATCTGTGTGTGTGTGTGTGTGTGTGTGCGTGCGTGCGTGCGTGCGTGCGTGCGTGCGCGTGTGCGTGCGTGCGTGCGTGTGTGTGCGACCCCTACACACGATGTACCTGTGCATGTAACTTCCAAAACGTTTCATGCATGTTTAACCCATATTTTACCTCTTTCAAATACCTTTTGCTTTCTTCACACCATGCGTAAAGGTCGACCGGCTGAATTTCTCTCTGATAGAGGTATGACGGGAAGTTTCAGCCCTTGCCATTGTTGTTTCCAGTCTGACAGAGAGCGGACGCACTGTTGCAACAAATGTTTACGCCCAGTCCCTCATCTTCTGTATGTTCTGTGGTGCAATCGGCGCAGGTGGTAACGGTTGAATTGCTAGTATGGCCCACAGGATCCTGGCACGTTCGATTACAGGATACATTGGGTAGTCTAACACCGTGAATAGTTTATCTTTGTGATACCCAACCGAGTGAATATTCTTCACATCTATTTTCATGTAACTCAACAGGTTAAGAGCATCATATTGGTATAATTGTGAGACTTGCTGGAGTTTTTTCAACGCCGCTAAGCATTTCAATTGACGCAGCAGTCTTAGACCACGTTTCCTTGTGGGCCATTGAGGATTTTTGATAAATTGGCACTTCGCATCTGATATAATTTTCATTCGCGCGCAATAACTGAAGAGTGTCGCTGAGCAGCCCAATTGAATGCTAGAGAGCCTGTATGCCTGGTGCTTTTCATGACTGAGAAGATAACTTTCTTCATAAATTGTCATCAACGGACATCCCGGTTCTCGATTTGTTTAAGTGATTATTTTCCGAATTCCGCCCCTCAAAATCGCCGGGTCCCATGTCCCGTTTACAATAGCAATCCGGCATCTCGCTCCCTCCTTACTTTATATTCCCGGATCCCGGACTTTAAATAAGCCTAATTCCGGATCCCGAAAAACCTATCGGAGACCCTCAACACGATATCCCTTCCAAACTGTAAAACGCAACTAGCTTAGCACGATTATCTTTTGTCTACATAAATGATTTTTATTTTTTATTCTTAAAAGTATGCATATAATTTTTTTCAGGTACCTCAAAACATCAAACCAATGCGAAATGGAATGGTTATTACGTTCACACGCACGTTGCCCACAACAAAGCCGAATGCATTGATGCGCTCTCCAGTATTTAAAAAGTGGGGGAGACAGTGGTGTATCTTTGTCGAAACCAATGAGTGCACTTGTCTTCGTTACTCCCAAGATTTTGATTCAGCACGCCTATCTGTGAGGTATGTTTTCTAACCTTGACAATGAACATACCAGAGTCTCGTGACTGAAGGAACTTGCCAGTAGACCATCCTAGACAAGTGACTACAGCAGTTTCATCAATGATAGCAAACCTTTACTTCGGTGAATAATTGTTAATCATTCTGGCTTGTAGAAATTATTATCTCACTTTTGCTTCCTCATCGACCAAAGTTAGTTTCTTTAATCTTCAGTGAGGTCTGGAAATCCTTTTCTCCTTTTTTGCTCTTTGAGAATTTTTATGGTTAGTACCTTTGTTTTCATTTTCATGAACGTACAGAAAGTCGAAAAGAAGGTCGGAATGAGGAATTTCCGCAGCCATAATGGCGGACCAGCATAATGTTCGTGTTGTGCTTTTGTCAAATTTTTTTGATGTAGATTGCATGCATATGTTGTGCTATGATGCATTCTTGTGACGTAGGCTGCGTGCCTTATGGAAATATAATGAACTCGCTTGAACCAATCAGAATCAGATTTTAATGTTGGCCGTTTTAAAAAATTGATTAAAGGAAAACCAACGAAGCGATTCAAATACCATCATAAAAACTCAAAAGAAGAGGAATAGATAATCCCTTAAATCTTGCATCTTCCTCCAATCTAAATCGCTGAAAACACGTTCTTTCTCTATCAGATGGCGAGTGTATCAAATACTTATTGTGAAACGTGAAATAAAGACTTTGATGTCCTGCAACGGAAATTGAGACAAGCCAGTCGACCACTAACACAGACGTTTGAAATTATTGAACTATCATCGACTATTTTCAGGCTTTCGATCCTGTTCAATCAACAAAATTTAATGCTTAACAACCTAGTTTTTCAACTAAATAATTGAGCTGGGCTCATATGATACTGCACAATGATGTTTAATGTGAATGACGTAACCTCGTCAAGCGCGTGAAAGTTTCAGTCCCAGCTAAGTTCGCGATTCACTTTTTTTTATCCTTTGCGGCCATTTTATTAATGTATTGAGCGCCGCATTCAGGACAAATCGTAACTATTTTTTCGCCTAAAGATCATACGACAGTTTTTGTTTCTCCCTATGCACGGGGACCTCTAGAGTGCCTCTTCGGAGGCCGGAACCCTGCGGGGGCAATTAGGGGTAGGAATTGGGACATGATTTCAGCGAAGGATGCGAGTGACTGATCCTCAACTGGGGGAAATTTCCTTGGAATCCACCTGAGGGTGTTAACAGTACACTATAACATTAATATAAAGCACACTGCCCTTTCCTGTTTGCTGAGGTGCACCCACACCCTCACCCCCCGATATTTACTCAAGGGTGTTTGATATCGCCAATCAGCTGCTGACACGTCACTTTCTCTTCGCGCCACTCGGTCAGGTTGTTGAATGAAATGCATAGCCCTCATCATTTTCAATCTAAGGTCGTGTGTCGGAATTTTCACGGATTATGGCTACTACAACACTACAATACTAATTTTTCATCTTGAGCCTGCACCAATGCACTTTACGATTTCTATGCGGTGATTGTCGTTCCTTTCCTTTTTATTCATTGGTAAAGTCGACTTTTCTTTTCAGTAAAGGGCTATTGTATTTATGTGATAAACAATATAATTCAGGGTTTCTTTTAAATGTGGAATTACCCTTCTCGTGTTCAACTCGACATCTCACTCGTGAGCTATTTCCCTTCGAGTGGAACACAATTCCATATTTACGTGCGCCCATGTTGTTTTCTTTTGCGGCCGGCACTGGTGTTTACAACTCGTGCCACGCAATTTCGTTGGAGGATTGCGCATGGTATACCTTAGTTTGGATTCAAGCTCCCCCTTTCAATCCTTATTAAAGTTTTTCGTTCGCACGCCTCAAAGTCCTTAACCAAGGGAAGATAAAGTACGCCAGATGACATTTCGGCCTCAAAATGTCTCGGGTTCCGGCGGGGACATGTGACGGGTTTTCTTCCCAAAACTTCGGAAAAGGGGGGTTAATTTACCAAGTTTGCGAAGTTTATTTAGAAATAATCACCAACATTAGATACAAAGAATACAACTAGCCTGCTAATAGCAATAACTATTAAAGGCTGCAAAGGTTTACTGAGTGTCCCTACGTACGTGTAACTTTACTTTTAGACTCTTGAGGCTGCAAATACAATGCTTTATCTCATTGGTATTAAAACAAATCCCATGAAGAAAACTGGGAGTAAACAGAGGAGTGTTAGGATCCGCTGGACAAAGGGAGAGAAATCAGAACCACAACGCTAACGGAGCTAGTAAACTGTGAGGTTGTAGGTAGTGACAATTTTTTGTTTGTTTTTACAAGTGTTCTTCCTTCTCGAACTCAGTCAAAATCCAAATCTGATTATACAGGGTAATGTTGCCGAGGTTCGTGAAAAGAATCCCACGTCAATTCCCTTTACAAAATGCCACTGATAACCTAGTGAGATAATTGAGCTAAATCCACGTATACTTCTTAATTTTTAACGAAAATGGTAAAAATAAAACAATGTTTGAATAACAAGTGTTTGAAGTAGCCCAACGAGATCACTACAAAGTGCTCTAGTGGATTTTGACGAGCGCTGCTAGTTGGCTGAGTCTTTTTTGTCCACAACTGTTCGGGTGACTAATGCACGTGTGCTGGGGCTCAATGACCCAGGATTCTATTAATAACACACCACACCTAGATCTTCAGTGTGGCCACAGTTGTGTTCTCCCCACTCCTCATGCTCACAGTTGAACACTGAGACCTCGTCGCCTTCGCACTGAACGTCGTCCAACCAAATGGGATCAACACCTTCGCCGTACGCTGAGCAGCACACTGGCTTTCCTAAGGAACCATTGAAGCCAAGTTGGCGGCACACCACGTCAACAGCCTCCTTTTGCTTATAATCATCACACACTGTACCCCATGTTGCATTGTGATAAACTTCTATGCGACCGTGGCTTGATCCTCCATTCACTAAACGAAGTAGGGATGGACCAAAAGAACATTGTACACCAGCGGCTTTGCCGTGATTGCAATTATTGTTTACCCAGCCGCTGTGGTTGCATTCGTAGAGAAATGATTCATTTCCCAGGCACCCCGCTTTTGTCATCCATACGGTACCATTTTCTTCTCCTCGAGAAGTGTTTCCATAAGCTTTGGTAGCTTGAGGGAAGCCCAGCTGCCTGCAGACTACCATCGCGTCCTGAATGTCCCAATCATGACTGCAAATGGTGCCCCACTTGTCATCATGAAAAATTTCCACGGTTCCAGTTAATGGTATCTCACTTCTTCTGAGGCGGACGGAACCCTCTGTAATGGCTGTTTCAAAGGTCAAACGAACGGAAAAGGTCATGCCACGTAATTTAAAATGATTCATTCGGTAATAGTACGTCCTGAATTTCCAACTACTCCTTCAAGCACTACTTTTCATAGAAACTGTTTCCCTTCGAAGAGGGGAATTCTAGCAATTATTTACATGAAGAACCTATCCAACCTACCCGTGGAGTAAAGTGGATAGACATAATTTAAACCAAAATAAAATGAAGTAACGCAGGGAGAAAATTTAGGCGTTGTGGGGGATATGTGGCTTTCCCATGAATGATTATTACTATCAGACCGGATCAGAAGTCTGTTTTCCCAGAAGTTCTTACTTTGCTCACAAACAGTGAAGCTTCACGACAGGCTTTTCCGCTGTTTTCAATTGTACTCATTCAGATCAATTGCACAAAATCAGATCGAGGTTAGCCTTGATGTTTTTTAAGGAACTTCGTTCATATATTGAGAAAAGAAATAATCTATGCTGCAACGGTAATATCGAAATTAATTTTTGCAGGAATTATTATTTTTTTATGTCATTTTTTGATAATTTTTGCAATTTGCTGCGCGTTTAGTTGTTTCCCTCGCGCGTTTGATAACTCTAGGGTCCAACCCACCTCGGTAACTTGCTTGAAACCCAGGCTCTCTATCTGAGTAATCAGTGGAGAATGCAATGTAAAGTTCGTGCGATGAGCTTGTAATAGGTGGAGGCAGAGAGGTGCCACTAAAGGAACCAATTAGAGGAGAGTTGGAAGAAGAACCATCATAAATCTCCAAAATATCTATGTTCTTCTCTGTTTTAAATGTATAGAACGTTAGCTCCAACTTTGTATTGGAAGATACACTCCATTTACACTCTATGTTATTTTTATAATCGTAGTCATCGCGTAAGGTGGAAAATATAAAACCAGTGATGTTTGTTTGTTCCAGGGTGAGGTCTTCACAGGAGCTGGTAACCGTCACTACTGGTGCTGAGAAGAAAGGCAAGCATTATGAAAGATTAACAGCTGTTCGAAGTCTTACTAGGGAAACTCCAACGCTTTTCGTGGTTAAGATGCAGGAATAATTTAAAAACCAGAGATAGAAAAAGGAACAGTAGTTTGACTGTGGTAGTTTAGATGATAGTTCTATGTAGCAGTCTGAACCAAGCAGTTTATAAATAGCATCTTGTTTAAATTTTTCAGGGCCTTTTGATTGGATTATAAAAGTGTTAAATGTTTTACTACAGGAAAACCCTCCCCACTTTAAGGCTGACCATGTCCATGGCTAATCTTTTCCCCGGGCGGAAAACGTGAAAGCGATCGTAATTTTGGCGTTAATTTAAATTAATAAAAAAGTCAGCTTTTCTCCAACGTCTGGTATAAATCGCCTGTGTCGGTACTCGATCAACTGCATGTCCTTTCAAATACAATAAAATTTCAACCTGCCAATGGCACAGACCGTTTAATCTTTATTAACTAGTGATTCTTTCTATTTCACACTGGCGCCAGTACTAATTTGTTTAATTTCCCAGCTTCACGCTTCATTTTCATTCTCGGACAGAAAAGATATGTCCAAATATTCACAGTTTTAGGCCGATAGCAAGCAACTTCAAATGTCCTCGATGTTCTCATTTCAGTAAAGTTCGGTCAACAAATGTGTCTTGGTTAGCTTTGCAATGGATGCAGAAATCGCCTTTAACCTCTCTCTCGTTGAAATTCTTTTTGTTGGGAGACTATAGTTATGTCCTTGACATTTTACATCCTACAACAATCGAACTCCCGGATGTAAAAAGGTCTTGAATACATCTTCATTCTACCTGAATCGTTTTTATACTTGCTGCCCCAGACAACTTTCAGATCTAAAACATTCACGTTTTCCACTGCCAGTTCTACTTTCCCCTCCTTCAAGATTTCTTGTGCGAGGACGTGATCAGTATTTTATCATCAGCTATCTGATGCGAAATTAGAAGCCATCTTGGTTTTTTTTAATGGTTTGGAAAGGAATGGAGTTTTTCTTGTCACCTACGGGCATGCCTTCGAGCGTTCATAAAACATTTTCATATTTTTGGTATAAAGCTTTACACTTGTATAATTACTCGAAATGATTCCGTGTTCTTCATATAAAGATATAGAACAAAATAAGTAGAAGGATTTTAGGTCTGTATGAAAGCGTATTTTACTATATATCAAGTATTAGCTCCTTGCTAGTTGAATTCTTACCACTACAGTGCTTTCCATTCCCAGTAAATCCAGGTTTACAGGAACAAGAGTAAGAACCTTGCGTGTTTTTGCAAACTGCATTTACATCACAGACATTTTTGGAGGCACTGCACTCGTCTATATCTAAGGAATGAAACAAGGGCCAGATCAGTACATGGCCAAAATATTTAATATACACAGCCGGTAGCTGTTACGGCACCTGTGGCGATTCAGACTGGAATAGTAGTTTTGTGAATAGACCGCAACAATCAAACGAATTCCATGGATTAGTTGGGTACGTGAAGGTCTTATTCGAGAATAAAACCCAAGTTTCAACTAATGTACAATCTAATTAAATAAAGAACGCCACGGTGTAGTAGTCATCCGAGAATTGCCATTTGATTTGAGTTCAGTTATCGTTAAAAAAATCATATTATCTCGACAAGATTTTAATCACAGGTGAGAGAGATCAGTACACCTTATCGCACTTGCTTTTTTTGCTCGTTGATTTGTACGTGTGATTGTGTTTTTCTTCAAATATTTCGTACTATTTAGGTTATTTAACGGAGGGATACAGAAACCCTTGTTAATGTACACTAAAGGAATAAACCACGCCTAAGCCTATACCTATACCTATACCTCTACCACGCTGGTACCCACCATTTAGTACGATTATTGCTATCTTAGGGTAACCCATAACCCTTACTTTTTCATTATCTGACAGCGTCCTCCACTTACCAAGAGTATCCATGTCGCAGTAAGCGAGTATGCTCTTAGAGGGTATAATAGAATTGAACCAATATTCACCACTAACGGCTTTTTCTCCTTCTGTAATCTTTATTTCCCAACAAGAGTCCGCAGGTAGTTCTGGTATAGAACCAAGTACGACTGATAAAGAGAAAAAATTTGATTTGTAAGAGAGATTAGAGCAATACTCCTTCGTGCAAGCGCCAGACTATTTTATAGATCATAGACGTGTAGATTTTACCACTCTTATACCGTCTATCCTTTGAGCAAACTGATCTGTGCTGGAGGAATAATTGGAATTTGCTAAAGTAAGAACGCTCTTATGACTGCTTTTAGATAAAGGAGATAATTTCACTCTGTTATTTAAATAGAAATCGAAATTAATCGTTCTATTAAAAGGGAACACTAATTTTTCTTAACGGCTTTTGTTGAAAAAAGATAAAAAATTAAAATAACTGTATGAGAGACAGTAAGGAGAATTACTAGTGGGATCTTGGGAGTTGAAGGGTTAACAGCTGCAATCATGCCATTTTTCTCAACTCTCCCTCAGATGCCTTAATAAGGAATCTATGTAGATCAACATTTAAACTGCGTAGGTCATTATCATGTATTTGTGTAGAAAAAATAAAGTGAGTAATTTTCTTATAATTTCAGTTGCTCCCTTCGAGCTATCAAAATTGCGGTTGACTGCTTTTAAATTTGTGCAAAGTATTGACGTAGTATCATGGTCATTCAAGACACGGTGACCTAGTGAGTCTAAACATGCAGTATATTTTACCTCTGTCTTTATATCTTTTGAAATAATATCTTTCAGGGTTGGGAACAAAGTTGTCAGGTTTGGCTTCTTTGGTGCGGTTGTTTAGTTCGCATATGCTCTGGGAGATAACATAGTTGAAGCTTTGACACCTTTTGTCATTGTTGCACGCTGTCAGACAATCCAATGCGACCAAAGCTGAGTGGGAAGCCTTGATGGTCTGAAAAACATGTCCTTTAAGCATCATCCCGTTGATCGATTGTTCGCTTCCACAGGGTTCAGGTGAAGCTGCATGGATCGTTTGACACAGAATCGCTATCATCGAAGTTGTAATGTGAAAAGTTCTTGAAAACGCCATCACGTAAAACACTTCAGACCTAGGAGACCTGCGGAAGGAATGTTGGAATTAGTTCAACATATTTAATTTTTATCATGATATTCCTCTAGTCAAGAAAGAAGTGAACGAGAAATCATTGTACTCGGGGTGACATACTGAAGCATTGCTCGTCTAAAAATTTTTAAATTTCTCTTGGGTTTTATTAGACGATAGAGGAGTGTTTTTGCAGGTGACCGGCGGTCTCTGTGCCTAAATATATTGAGGGAAGATTGGTGCTTGCTGGATGCTAAAAGAGGCCGGGTTATCCTCTCTTGCTTATTTCGAAGTGTTTCTGTTTGTCTGCGTTCGTTGCTTTTACACTCTCGCTGCTCTTGTAACTGTTTGATTTCCTCAACATGTTTTTGGAAACGGTTTGATTTCTATATCGTGTTGTTCTATATTGCAAAAAAACTCAACATGCCATGTTGGAGGTCGTTCTGTAAGCAATAAAATCACTGCTTATTTAATGAGGCAAATAACCAAATAAGGCAGCTGTCAACATATCGTAACATATCTTAACAATTTCGATCTATTTCTTTTCATTTCAATTAGTTCGAGAAACTTTCTGGCTTTGATTTTGAATTCTCCCCACGAAATTTTTTTAGCGTGTCGTGTTAAGTCATTAATGACTTAAAAAACACAACGTTTATCGAACGTCTCAATATTCTTCAGAATCTTGTTTGTTTTTTGTCAGCCTAAGAGGACAATTACTCTCATCAGATGAAACTGTTCTGTGATTTCTTTATTTAACCAACTAAAAAAAAACCTCCCTTTCGATTCACGTAAAATATCAGTCACGCGAACAAACGAAGAACAGAAGTCATACAATCATGAAGTTTTTTCCTTTCGTCTGAAAGTCCAAGAAACCATTTGCAGTGGTAATTGCTTAAATAAAGAATGGTGAATGACAGAGAGAACTTTAGCGACGTCAGATTGATTTCGGTTTGGTTACAATTATCTCTACCTCATCTAATGAAGGTTTCCTTTTAATACAAATTGTCTCAGCGAAACATATTTCTAACAAAATCTAGCGAGTTTCGCTGGCTTTTACTTTAAGTAGTTTTGTTTGATTTCTCGCCACAGGTTTCATTGTGTTCAAAACATGAAAAAAAAAGTGAAGCACGACCGATAAAGAAAAACAGAAACAGCGTGAAAATACGTGATTGAGAATTAAACTTAATTTAAGCAATTTACATTTTAATTGCAAATCTGTTTGTGTTGATGGAATGGCACTGGAAAGTTTTGTTTTTTTAGTCGGTGGATAATTTTCCCCTAACTTTCAAGTATTCTTTCTATTAATATGGCAACTGGATGTCTTTTATTGATGGTAACAACTGGTCAAAACAAAATGAATTACGTCAAAGTATCTGCGTTTGTTGGTCCTAGTTACTTGCTTAACCAGGATGAGCTGTTCTTCGGTAGATTGTCTCTAACCTATATGATTATTATTATCGTAGATTTCTAACATGAGACCTTTCTTTGTGTAACAGTTACACCTTACATTAATTTGGAAGCGAAACGTTTTCATTCCCTTCCCTAGTGCAGTGAGAAATCTAGTGAATAAGCGGTAGAGAAATTAAAGAATCCAAATTTTAGTGTTGGAAGTTAATGCTGCAGTAATAAAGTAATGATCCTGTAGGTATGCTGGTTAATCTTCCAAATTAGTATCGATTGATTTTTTCTACCGTATATTTTGTTACATGATTACGTAACCGTGACAGTACTAGTAAAAATAAGTATTTTTTTTAAATAGATGATAACTGAGGAGAAAATGAGTCAAAATTTTTAATTTGCTTTCATATCGGAAGGAAACGACATTTTGGGTTTATTTGGCCTAAGCAATATCAGCTATTTACCACAGGCTTCTAAATACGTCGAGTGGACAAAAATAAGAACGCGTTGAACAAAAAGGGTTATAGACTGTGCCCCTATTCCCAGATTTAGGAACTGAAACTTTTTTAATGATACCCGTGCATATCAGTCTAATAGAACTTACCAAATTTTAATTTTTCCTGTCTGTTGTTTATCCTCTTTTGAGCGTCTTGGCGAAATGAGGGTAATCACCTTTAGTCGTGCCGGTAATATCCTCTTAGTCGAGGATCCATTGTAATGCATATTTTTGTTTTTGTTCTGTTGCTTTGTTTACCCTTGTGTGTGGGTGTTTTTTTATGTTTTTTCGCATTAGAATTTAATGCTACCAATCATCTTTCGGTACAAACGTTGATATCGATCAATATGTTTGAGCGTGTGAGATAGTTTTAGGCGAGAGACATAGGAAGTGGTAAACAAGGGTGGGAAAAAGTAAAGATTTTAATGGTAATGATGTTGATTATGCGAATGATGGTGAGGGTAATGTTAAGTAAAACAAAACGTCATCGATCACAGGATCTTTCTTAAGTTCAAGTTGGCTTCGAATTCAAAATTTCCTTCGTGGAACTATTTTAAGGTTTAAACATTCTACTCAATTATTTAGTAGCGCACCTTCAAAATCTGTGTATTAGTACTTCCTCAATTGTGATACTTTCATTTAAATATAACTTGTAGGAAAACATTACGAACTGATACTCCGGGTCAGTTTTTGCATATGTTTTGCATACAAAATCAGATTAAACTTAACAAGGAAGTCTATGTGGAGTTCACAGCTTCTAATCTCTGTTCAACATCTTCCTTTTCGTCACCCTCTTTCGCTCGAGTGTTTCCGATGACAACTTCTACATGAGCAAGCGCAAACTTTAATTTCCTATGATCTTACTTAGGTGTGTTAACGATTCCCTTTCCAACTAATCAGCGCATCTTATGAGATTCTCAACAGGTTTTAAACCATAAGTTAGTCTTTGTAAAAAAAAAATTTCTCAGCTATATGACCAGCTCATCAATGAAAACAATTGTATTAAATCGCGGACTTAGTCCTTTCATATGCACCAGTTGGATTACTTAGGCGCTCAGCTGAAGTGAAGTCTTTCCTGTAGTAATCTATGACTTCTAGGTGAAAGCTTAGACTCATCCCTGCAGAGTAGTTCATCGCTCAAAAACCAATAAAGTAGCTAAAAGAAAAACTAACTTTCGGATATGAACATACCTTTTGATGAAGAATTTTCAAGATTTAATGTTTCTAGTTAAAGCATTTTGTGCTCTGCGTCATATCAGAATATTTGTTCTTCAATTGTTTCTTTTATATTTGAATATTCCTCCTACAGCTGTAGGAAAAAGTCATGACTCATTATGCTGGCCAATTTATTTGCAGATTATGTTTGTTTCGAAAAGGAGATGAGTTTTTCAATGACTCGAGGATGTTTACTTTATCATGAAGTAACTTTCATTTTCTCCAGTTGGTAACCATGTGATCGTGTTTTTGGCGAGGAAGTTATTTGCTTGGTAAAAACACGTGGAAATAGATGAAAAATTATAAATAGAATGTAATATTTCTTTCCTCAAATGGGAGAATTTCACTAAAAATTAATGGCATACAAGTTTCTTACAATACATTAGTTTTGAGCAATTTTCAAATGAGTGTGGAAAGTAATCCGATATTGCTTTGGTTTTACTAAGCATCGCTCTACCAGTCTAGTCATTCGCCTTTTCCCGCGCTTCAGCCAATTTTCTTATTTTTACTTTGAGTTCTCGTTATCTCGTGATAATGTGAATCTTTTTTCGATTGGTCGCTGGGATTACTTTGGTTTTCGATTTTCGAAACTCAGTTGGAAAATCGTTTTCATTAAAGACTATGAAGTACTACAATTACTTTTTAACGACACACTTCCTACATATAAATGCTAACAATCCACCGACACTTAACACTAGGCGTACACGACGGAACATACTTTTTATTTCAATTTGCAGTTACGGAGGCGAATGATTGCACTGCAAACACAATTTGAGAAACTAAAAGCTACGAGGGCGGTCTTATTATACAAAAACGGAATAGAACGCGAAAACTTGAAAGGTTAGATTTTGTTTGCTACGGCTGACGCTTGGGATATCAATTGGCTTTATAGTTATGTCAATAGAACAGGAAAAACCGTGTGGATTCTTATTTTCTGTCTTAAGATATTAATTTAGCGGGTAAATTGTAAAAATTGGGATGAGAAGTTAAAAAAAGTTATTCCAGCATTCACCAAACGAATACTAGAAAATAAAAAGAAAGAAAGAAAATCAAAGAACCACGGTCTTATAAGACGTTGAGAAACTTCCAAAGAACTAAATTTCAGAAGAAAACTTTATCCTGTTAAAAGAGAGATTAGGCGGGGAGAGTTAATTAGAAAGAACGGCTAAGACTGGTTTAAAAGTCAACAAAGTGCACCTGGCTTAAAAGTAACTTTATAGTCAACGAACAACAATACATTAACCAGACTCGTAAGAAAGGCCACACCACTCAAATCTTTCAACTTATGGCATAAAAATTTCAGTGCAATCCTGCAGCACGGGGAGTCAGTGATGGCTTGGTAGTTATAAGTAGGATCAACATGGTTATTTTGAACCCTTAAAATGAATTTTACGCCGCCAAACATAATCAGCAGGATATCTTTGTTATGTTAAGGGTGGTTTGTTAACAGGTGTAAGCGGACAAGAAGCGCTTATACCGACGACTTTTCTCGATAAAAATCTTTCTTCAGCTAGAATATTCACAAAATTGACAGGTAAGGTGTTTACCAATGTAAAATTTTTTACTTTTGATTCAAGCCGCGAGATAAAGAAACGGATTTATAAGTTTGACAGTTTATTGAGCTGCTATTGGAAATTGCCACGAGATTTTGCGTTGTTTTTTTAACTGGTTGTACTGATCCATTTACCCTGAAAGTTCACCTTCTTGTTAGAGACGTTTAATTGGTGGAAAAACGTTACTGTTGTATTCAGTAAAATTAATATTGGGACATAATTTTAAAAATAAAATCTATTCGGTTAATAAATAATCTTTCAAAGACAAGCATCTGAATTTCTTAACTGCTTAGCCTAAAAAGATTTCAAAAGTCAGCTATAATATTTTGATATAGGTGAGCACAAGTCAAATATTCAGTTAACTTATTACCGTGTTTGGCAGACTGTTGTGCAAGTGATAAAAGACCAAAATTTATTGAGCATCGATAGAATTGTTCCTGCACTTCATTTACATGTTAGTGTTTTAGCTGTTATTTGTCCAATACAAGCCGAATTATCTTCGTTTACTGTGTGTAATTTCCGCAGCTGATGTTCACGATTTTAAACAACTGCTAAAATTATACTATCTGGGGAGAAGCTGATACCAAGACCAAACGACGGAAATCGGAATTTGTTCAAAGATAAACTAAAGAATAACATTGAACTAATGTTTGCGAACGTTTGAAAGTGGAGCCTTTAATTAAATATTGAACAAGGAAGGTCGGTAGCTTTCAAAGAAGATGATCGGCTTTATTCTCTAAGTAATTGGATGTAACGAGAAAGTTCTTTAAGATAATCAATGAAAGATGCGAAACAGAAGTAGGATTTTTCAATCGCAGAGTCCATTTTTTTTTGGTCTTTGATTCATACGAAAGCAGAATTTTTTACTACTCAGCTACTGCTTAAGCCGACAGAAAGCGTCTTCTAGGTAGGCATTGGACAGTAAATAATGACTTGAACATATGCTAATTTCAGGCCAATTTAACATTATCTTACCGTTTTTCAATAGTATGAGTCGAGATGGTGAGTTTTAGGCACAGAGGCCGCCGATCTTTTTTTATGGAAGAATATGAGCGCAATAATTTACAAGCAACGGTTCTCTGTCGTCATGATCTCTTTTAACAAGTAAATTTATTTCAAAGATTCCCGCTCTTTGGGCTGTTTTCCTAATTCAAAAAGAAGCAGCTGCTTTAAGTGTATCGCTGAGAAAAAAAACAGAGATAGCCGCGTGACCTATGAACGACAACGTTTCGCTGTGAAATCTTTCTCGTGCAAAGATCAATGTTGATTTGATGAAAAGATCCAAAGGATTGGTACGTGTTTGTGCACACGTAATTCCTAGGTAGCCATATACGCTTAACCATGTAAAAGGAAAGGGTAATATAATATTATCAACTCAGTTGATAGTACCAAATTACCCTGTTATACTCTCCCACTGACGCAGCACCACAGTTTCTTTGGAAACTTGCCCCCTTTATTCAAATGCAAAAAGAAAGTTTGTTGCAGGCTGGATATTGAATCCAAGGCACTTTACAAATCACGGGACGCAGATGACATGATGACTTGTGAGAGACGCCTTTTTGACCGTTTTTGTTTAATCGCAGTCATTGTGTACCCAATGATGCTGTGGAAAAGAGAAACTGTTACGTGTATGTCTTTTATGATCATCAACATTTGTTGCGGTTCTACTGTCCTTCAGAAGGAACGATTCCTCCAAGGTAAGTTGGTATAAAGTGAAGTACGAGAATTGCATAATCAGGGGGGGAAAAAAGGTGCTCTAAATCGTTTTATACTTGTTTTTTATTTAGCATTGTTTGAACTGATGTTTGGGGCAGTTAATGATTTTTTCCGAGAAAAGTAGAGAAACCTTTTACTGCAAAAGGCAGATTTCGATTTCGTGCTCATTTACGTTAAGAAGAGAACCAGTTGAATTTGAAAGCAAGGTGGAAAAAAATTTCAACGAAACTCCAAAAATGTTTCCTTTTAGCTTATGCTTTCTAAGATTTACCTTGTCTTCCTTTCTTCACTTCTCTCGTAAGTCCGCCTTCATCAACACTTCGTCCGTCATCACTGTGTACCCATCCGTCTAGTATGCTCGAAATTAATTTTACACAAACTTACCATTCTTAATAAATTATTCGGAAAATATCACTGAAGGAAGTTGTGCTCTCTCAAGTTTTAAGTTTATTTTGTGAAATGAAATCTGTCACTCCTTTTAGTTACAATACCATCCTCCTGATACAAATAATCCCAAAATATTCAAGGAGGCCAAGAAATATCATTCTGTTCTCCTTTTTGATTTAAGGTATGGACTCTTGTGGACAACGTATTCTTCACTCAACAACCAGTAATTACTATGGAATGGCTATTACAAGAAACAATGTGATAGACAAGCGAATAGTGGGTGGGAGAGTAAGCAGTGACGGTGCATGGCCTTGGCAGGTTGCTTTAATGCTGGATGATGTCCAAGTGTGTGCAGGCTCAATTATCAGACCTAACTGGGTTTTAACTGCTTGCCATTGTTTCACAGGTGTGTGAATGACGCGAAAAATCCAAGGTACTCTAATAATATATGACGAAAATGGTCGTAAATGAGTTTCTAACCGAAACACCTCAGCTAATGAGAGGCCAGAAAAAAATTTAGGAATTTCACACAGACGCCAAACAAGGAACTTCCTTCTTCCATCGAAAAGAGCTCGCTAGTATTTCTTAAAGCAAAAGTCATGTCATTGTATCCTTGAATATTAAATTTCCGCCTCCTAACCAGGATGATAACTTTGTCTGAAATATATCTATATTTAAACAGATTATCGGTCAACAAAGGATCCAACTCGCTGGAAAGTTAAACTTGGTGCCAATCCTCTTTCATCAGAGTCGAAAGAGTTTCAACAAGTGAGAGGAGTAAAGAACATCATCGTGCACCCAAAGTACTGGGGTAAAACTGTTCAAGGTGTGCTTATTCAGCCTCCAGATTATGATGTAGGTGAGTCAAAACCCTACGATAGGGGAAAAAATCCTCATCAGGAAATGATTGTTATAAAATATAATTAGAGTGCAAGCTGGATGATTTTAAAAAATAACGAAATTATTCTCATAGCTAAACTAAACTGAAGAAATTGTAGGAAGAGAGTCCTGAAAACTGAATTCGGGGTCGACGGAATTTGAATCCCTACCTCCTTGATACTCATTGAGCACAACCACCGACTGAGTCACGAAGCGTTATGTTAATATTCACCAAGTAGAGGTCCTTTGTGATAATGGCAGAATAGTCGCTCCTCCTTATTTCTCCCAGATAAGAAACTCCCACTCGTATTTGTTCAGATCCTCTCCTGGAATTTTCACAGTTCTTCCAGGGAAAACATTTTACATTTCGTTGCCTTTGAACAAAGTGGCTTTGCTTCAAGGTGTTAAACTGTCACCCCAATCAGCGTCCACATATCTTTTCAACGTCTTGGTTCGCAAGGTTTCGCCCAAAACGGTGGCGATGTTTCCCACACTAGTTACTATTGGAAAAGCATCGTTCACCCATTAAGACGCCGCGAACAATGTTTTTCCAGATTTTCCAGATAAAAATTATTGTTCATATGGATGAATGGCGAGAATTTTTTTCATAGCTTTCCTTTTTATTTCAGCTCTTCTTGAACTTTCAAGCCCAGTAACCTATAATAGCTTTGTGCGACCTATCTGTCTCCCCGTGAATGGCTTAGCATTCCCCCCCGGGAAAATCTGCTATGTGACAGGATGGGGATCAAAGGGATGGAACAAGCCACCGTCGGAGTTTTTGCAAGAAGCTCCGGTACGTTTAGTTTCGCGAACGGAATGTAACAAAAAGAAATCCTACGATGGGACTGTTCCAAAGACGGCTTTGTGCGCCGGATACAAGGATGGAGGGATTGATGCATGTCAAAAAGATAGCGGTGGACCGCTAGCTTGTGAATATGAAGGACAATGGTACCTCGTGGGCGTCATATCATGGGGAAAACATTGTGCAGTCCCAAATAAATACGGCGTTTATGCTGATGTGCGAGTTCTAAACTCTTGGATTACTGGAGTTGTACAGTAGTTTTAATACCATGAATTCACGATTGTATGTGGCAGTTAAACGAGAAGTGATTGTCTATTACTTTCCCAGTTAGCATGCCCCTTCAGCCAGAACAAGCAAGCAAAGTTTCATTTGGGAAAGGGTTTCTAACATGAGCAGCGTTCTATTTCCATTGAAAAGATTCTAGGATAAAGTTCTAAAATCTATTCTAGCAGTAGAAGTAGGCAATGACCAACTATTTTCTTGAAGTTCTCGCTTTCTACGAGGAACGATTACAGGAGGGGATTATTGTTAAATTTTCATGTGTTTTTGTTTCGTATGCCCATGTGTGACACATATTTATTATTCCCACATTGGGAGTTTTTGCAAAACAGAATTACACAGCAGTTAAAATACTTATAAAAATTGAGGACTACATATCTCAAATTTACATTTCTCTTTGAGTTTCCCTTTCCCGCTTGAAGAGAAGAGTACTCTAGGTACTGAGATAGTTGATTTAGTCATAGGTTTACAGACTGCAGGTCTAAAGGTGGGTACAATGTGAAGACTGAAACGTAAAGCGCTTTCGAATAATAAAAAAAAAAAGATGGAGTCCAGCTCAGAGAACATAGTAGAAATCTTTTCGCCTAAACAGTGTAAAACGACAGAAAACTAATAAAGAATATTGACACTTTTTTTTCATACATTGATGTTCAAGACTTTCAAAAGCTTTGTTTGTGAATTAAAACGTTCTGCGGGAATGGTGTCGATATATTTTACTCAGGGAAAATTTAACACGGTTAAATTTGGAAATAGTCTTTTTCTTTGTGTGTCCACGGCGGTTTTACCAACGACAACATTCACCGGCCTTTTGCGTGTTTAACTTACAAATGTTGTATATCGTGATCGTCTTCTTCAGTGTGAAATTGCATCTAAATGGAAATTCGTTCATTCAACTCCTTACCTGTATCCCTGGGAATTGAAATATGCCAGACTAGTTTTAGCCTTGCAGTGCAGATTTCATTGCTTTCATAAAATCAAGAACAAAAAATGGATTTCAAAGACGAAACTTCCTTTCGAGGAATGATACATTATAACTGGTTCATAAATAACTGGTTCCTGATCAATTATCAAGTATTTGCAGGTACGTCTTCATATCTGTATGTTTCGTTTGCATGCGGAAAAAGAAAGAAAAATATCGAAAGAGAGAACAATTCTCTTTAAGACTCCAAATTATCGGATTTTTTTTACTGTAGGATTATTGACGGAAGAGCGTTAATTTTATGACATGACGACTGTGCTCACCTATGCCACTTTTTGGATATGTCCTGCTTTTACCATAGATGACTACAGTTACTTCACTGGGGTCGCGTTGCGGAACTCTAATCCTTATAGTTATGTGCGAACTCGTTTCTTATCAAAATTCGTTTGAAGAAGAGCCTTTCCCGGGCGGTCTCCTCAGTTCTGACTTCAAGGTACAACGTGAGACCCATTTCTTGCGGGCGCTATGAAACCGACACACGAACCGTCATGTCGCTTTAATAAGAGTTTGTAAAATGAGATGAACCACAGATATTAGTTAACTGACAAATGATACAAAATATATTATGTACTTAGTGAATGCTTGGGAGGCCAGGATAGTAATATATTTTGTTCGAGGCCCGGATGTAGAGACCGAGGGCAGAAAGGCCTGTACGTCACGACCGATCATAACTTAGTCAATAAGTATTTTATGATACGATTTTGTCATCTTTATTTTTGCATTATGTATCTCGCAGAGGCGTTCGCTGGCCGTGTGTTTTTTTCCCGCGCCGCGTGCGTGCGAACGCGCACGTCCCTCATACGGAAAATTTTGTTTTATGCTTTTTTCTTTGGCTCAACTTGTCGCACATTAAACATCTCACAATAACCCTTTTTTTTATTGGTAATGCTAAGGGATTATTGCCGAATGGAAGAAGAAGTGTTCCTGTTCGAAAAGTCATCGCCATGACTATTTTGCCTCGTTGGGGAGTGGGTAGCGTAAATTTACATCAATATGATCCGTTTCCACTGGTGTACCCTGAGGATAAGTTGATTGTCGATGAACGCATAGCACCGATTGTAGGTCGACAATTCAAGTTACACGTTATGACTCATTCAAACCACTTCTCTCTAAGTGCAAGGTACAGGTCGAAGCAAAAAAAAAAAATTTATCATTTTAATGGTGTACAAAGTAATCGTGAGGCGATTGTTGTTCAGCCATGGAATGCCTCGAGCCGATTGAAGACTGGTTTCTGCAGGGTGTATGTATATTGGCCTGTGTTTGGTTTCAATCAAACGCGTAGTTAGAAAGTGCGGTTGTTTTTCTGCGAGCAAAATGACGTATTCCTCTTTAATAAAACTATCCTGTGGAAGCTGTCAGTTTTGAAACAAAGTTTAACAAACCAACAAACTTTCGACTGATAAATATTGCTCGAAAAGATTTTTGAAGGTTTTGCAGGGCTAGTTAGGCACGATACAACCTTTTTGGGTTAAATTGAGTGCGTGGCACATGAACAGTGGTGCACGTTTTGTACGTATAACAAATCAATCTTGCGCTTCAACAACAACAAAAAATAATAAGGTAAAAAACTAGCAAACGGTACACAAAAATACATTTTTAACATGAATTTTCGGTTTATTTCGGATAAAAGGTACTATATTTCAGTATCTACTAATTGTAAACTATTTCATAAACCTTTAGTTGCCTGTTAGAGTCGTTTCGTGAGTCAACTTTACAGTCAAGAATTTTGCATTCCTATTTAATCAATCAAATTTCCGTCCATTTAGATAAATTCCATTTGCGTAATGCTAGACAATCACAGCATTTGATCGGTTATTCAGCCAGGTATCCACCAAACCACCACTGTGTTGTGGAAAAATCGCCTCCGTTACAACGGAAATTGGTATTGAAAGCCTGGTTAAAACCAAAGTTGTCCTCACTGGGTGAAGACCCAGCAGTGGGCACGAACCCACAGCCAGTAGCACTGCTGTCGATGTGAAGCATGTAGGTGTTATGAACCTGCCAGAACCTTGCTGTTGTACCAGGCCCAGCTGCATGTCCACGGATATTTACGTAGTCCACCAACAGGCATTGGCCGTGTCCAAGAAAACCCATGATATCGTTGTTGCTGAAACTTCCCCTTACGTAGTCTCGGTAATCTATGTTATCAAGGTGATTGAAGCTGCAGGTTGCTCGCCAGTGTGTCGATGTACTGCGGAGGCCCTTCATCCGAGAGAGCGTCTGTCGGTATGAGTCCCAGTTCGGCGTCTTGTGGTTAATTGGTGCGTCTTGTGCAAAAGTGCTGCTTCTGAATTGGCGTAGGCTTCTGGACGCTCGATTCCAAGACATGACAAGGGTCCAGGCTGCACCCGGCTCCGATTCAAGGTCGCAGTAAGCAACGTATCGTTGGTACTTATCGTCGAAAAGCCAATAGAAACCGTTTTCAAACACTCCATTTTTTAAATAGTCCAGGCAGGATCGGGCTATGAAGTTATTTTTTCCCAGGTGGATTCCCTGAGAAAACTGAGACAAATACAATAAAAGAATTAGGAATGTGGCTATGAGCTTATCACGTTCAGCAAGTGCCACTGACCAGTAGTATATGGCTGTTTACTTAATTTTCCCAATTCCGAGAAACACCGTCTGTGTTTTCCAATCAACCACCACTCCGTTTACAGATGTACCCGGCGCTAACTTTGAATGAAGTTATGATCAACAATTAACTTCTCAAAGCACCCAAAGTGCGGACCTGTTTGCTTAGGTTTGCTGAGCTTGAGAATTATTACTACAAAACATGCTGTAAAAAAATTTGCTTGAAAACAAACTTGTTTTTGAGAGGGACCTAAATAAAAAAAAAAAAAAAAAAAAAAAAAAATTTTTTTTGTGTTGAGACCACCTAGTTAAACTAGAAAACCTAAGAAGGAACATTTGGTGAACCGAAAGTCAGCTTCGGTTCCCAGATAAAAAAAATAACCGGGGAAATTCCAATATTGAGCGTCAAAATAATAAATGCATATTGCAAAGTGTTGAATAACCTCGGGATGAAACAATGGGGAATGCTGGTGAAAAACCTGAACCTCAAGCTATCAAGACTCCTCACAACATTTATTTTCCGTAGTAGAGAGCTTCTCGATGGGGTGTTGACGGACCACAGCTAAAGTGGCTAGAACGGCCATCAGCTCGAGGGGAAATTTCCAATAAAGACTCAATGTAAGAGCGAACGTATAAATGAACATTAGCTCGTTCATCTCGTGATACAGAGTCAGGCTATTGACTTTTTGTAACACAATTGTGTTGATCGCGATCTTGACTGCTTCATGGCCATTTTTCTTGTTGCTATATATAACACCTTGGTTTAGCGTTATTGGTGCGTTTTGGTGGCGTTTTGGTTTCACAGTTCGAGAGTTGTGCTTTTTTACTGTAGGCACCGCGCCTGAGAAATTTCGATTCTCTGTCTATTTGATGCTATTAGGCTTCTTTAATCCTAACGGTGTGCCAGTGAAAGTCACGTTCAAAAACCGTCCCCTCTGTTTAAGATGTTTACTAAACGACAGCTCGTCAAAGTAATTTTAACACGACAGATTTGAAACTCGCTCACCTTTCCTGCTTCAATAATCTCTAACGGAAAAGCCACCGCGAAAAGCAACACCACAACAGATGAACACATCTTTGAGTATAATGAATGTGCTTGGAGAATCGTGAACTGAAATAAAGACACGCTGCGTGGTTTATTTATAGATTTTTTTGAGAAAGGATAAGTTTACAATCACGTCCGCAGAAATCATATCCTCCTTAACGAGGATATGATGAGAGGTGCTGAAAGAGCATGTTACACAATATTTTTTTCAGTTAAAACTCGTAAACGTAAGTTGTATGGTGTAGCCAGTTTAGAGGGTGTTTAAGAACACTCCTTTGAGTATAATAAATTGTACTCACCTCATAATACTCACTTCATTAAGTATAATGAATGTGCTGGAAGAATAGTGAGCTATAATAAAAACAGACTGCATGGTTTATTTAGAGATTTTTTTTTGGAAAGGATAAGTTTGCAATCACTTCCGCAGAAGTCATTTCCTCCTTTACGAGGATGTAATGAGAGGTGCTGAAAGAGCGCGTCACACAATTTTTTTTTCAGTTAAAACTCGTAAACGTAAGTTTTACAGTATAGCAAGTTTAGAGCGTGCTTAAGAGCACTTCTTTGGTAATGCTAAATCGTAAATGAATTAAAACTATATTTCTTTTGTTTCCGAATACATTGCAAGCAAAAACTTACCTGCGTTAACCATTGAAAAGAAAAGTAGCAACATAATGAACACGAAAACTAACAGAGCACGAGGATGACACACACACATGTCTGAAGCATGTTGGGAAGAGAAATAATTTTTTTATTGAATAAGGCGTGAGGCCACGTCTGCAGAGATTAAAGTCTGTGTTTTTGAACAGTTTTTGACCAAAATTTCATTGTATTCTCTAGCTTAGATCACATTCAACTTTGAAGTAGCGTGACATGGTCAGCTACACGTGCAAGAAAGGGGAAATCACGAGTGAGGACGTTTGACTCCATACTCTTTCAACAGAGAGTTTGAGTCCTATCGAAATATACGGAAGTAATGATCGTAATGGATAAAGCTTCGATCGAAGCCTTGGTAAAGGATCGTTCGGCCAGCAAAGAATACACAACTGAACTTTATAATAAAGTTTGGATATAATTGGTTGAAAGAGCGTGCACTATGAGAGTATCGAGCATAGAGCCGAGCCAAACCTGTCACGCTATCTGCCAAATTGTACTATGTCCGACCTTTTCTGGGACTTCTCTCTAGCCTTTTTCGTTGATTGAAAGTGAAATTTCGGAAGAAGCGAGCCGGCAAGTAGTACCTTCGAGTGGAGAAGAAGACTACGTCTCGTGTTTCTCCCTACACTTCTTTCAAGCTCTAGCCGCTTTCTGCGTGCTTTACAACAGAACAGAGCATAGTCAAGGCTTCTCTATTTGTTAAATAGAACTGTTCTGGAATTTGATCACTGTAATATTCAACGAAAAGAGCGCAAAAGAGATGTGTACTCGTTATTTCATGAAGAACAGGATGCAAGATGTTTAATGTTGACATAAAGCATTGATAGAAATTGGATAGCTGTAGTGTTTGCACGCGTTCAAAATTTTTAGCCCCAAAGTAGAATGTGTGAGCCAGTGTTAACGAAGTTCTAGCAAATATTTGCGCGATAAACATATTTCGTAAGTTCAAACTGGGAAAGCTGTTTATAGCGTAATGATCGCTTCATTGTCGTTGAGAACAGTTATTTCCAGTTTTAAATTACAACCCACGTCCGATAGACTAAGTAACTCTAAATGACAATACGGCATTTTTGGTCAAACATCTTCAGAACGTCAGAAGTAACTAAAGTTGTTACGGTCGAAACCCTTGGAGTAGCTTGCTTAGTTTGCGTATCCGAGTCGATGGGCCATCTGTGACATGTAAAGGTTCTAGCAAATATTTGCGTGATAAACATGTTTCGTAAGGTCAAACTGGGAAAGCTGTTTATAGCGTAATGATCGCTTTATTGTCGTTGAGAACAATAATTTCCAGTTTTAAATTACAACCCACGTCCGATAGACTAAGTAACCCTAAATGACAATACGACATTTTTGGTCAAACATCTTCAGAGCGTCGGAAGTAACTAAAGTTATCACAGTCGAAACCCTTGGAGTAGCTTGCTTAGTTTGCGTATCCGAGTCGATGGGCCATCTGTAACATGTAAAACTCTTGGGGTTAATTTTGATGGTAAAACGTTGTTACTTGCAACTTGTGTGGAGGTGATTAAGTTGCTTATTCTTTTCATTTTCTGTGTACTGGAAACAAAAGGTAGCAGACTTTTGAAAATGTTTTAAAACAGGACAGTATTGCCAGACTTGTATTTTTGGTCTGATATTCAGGCAACAATTTTTTGCCATATATGTTAGCCACCTGCAACTAAATTGTACCATCAAAATTTCCCCAAAAATTTTTTCAGATTTATGTTAGAAATAATTGACATCAGTTCATTAAGTTACTTACTAGTTACCTGCACCGCCACAAGGCAGGGCTCTTATGTGTGTTTCTGTGTTCAGTAATGATCAAACTTAAAATTCTCCAACATGCATCCGTAACAAAATTATATGAAAGAAAAAAAGGTAGTATTACTGTGAAGCAGTTGTCAGAGTTTCACATTTTTGTTTATTTACATATTTAGAACAAGGAACTAGTTTTTAAAGCTTTAGATTGTTGACCCAGAAGTTCCGGTTGCAGTGAACAAATTCCTCCTTTGAATTCTCACAACATTTTTGTAGATAATTCCTTGAATGATGACCAATTAAAATCAGGTGGTTTTCGAGATTGACTGAAAGATTCTTTGGTTTAAATCAGACATGTTCTGTATGGGCTCAGAACACTATTTGGTCAATCCAGTTCTCATTTTTGCTTTGAAGCATTAAAACAGGAACTTCTTTAGGGGCATGAGTGTTTTCTACCCATTTTGAACTCGTGAATTGCGCGCATGCGCAAGAGCGAGTTATAGATACCATGTGGGGAATGGCATTCGCTCGCTCGCTCGCTCGCTCGCTCGATTGGTCGATTCCTGTAAACTTTTTTTAGATTTTAGGCTTTTGAGTGCATTTGATAGTTTTTAGCGAACAGTAAACAGAAGAAATGGCGACCTTTGTTGCTAAGAATAGTGGTGGGGTGAAAAAGAAGCCAATGATGATCTTAAAAGAGTTTTTTTTTTCGTTTTAGTTTCAACAAGCGGCGCCAGAGACTGGCAGGCATGCAAGGATTCACACTGAAATAACAGAACAACCTTCGTTTTTCATAAAATTGTAATTTACAATCCTTGAACTCGAAAACAATCCGAAGATTCATTGAAAATATTACTTACTGCGAAGCGCTCGGAGTTTACAGATGTTCAAAAGCTTTTTCTGTTATGGCGTGATATTGAGGACAAAATTGATCATTACGTTTCGTCGCGTGTGTTTTTCCTGTGTGAAGCAACAAAAGATGCCGGCGACTGACGAAATTACAAGTTAACACGAAAATCAGATAACACCTAAACAAACAATTTTAGCTACCGATTTTCAGTGAATTTTTAAAGAACAATTTTCTTTTAAGTTTCAAGACAATTTGAAGATTCAACATACATACAACGTACTAAAATGCGAAAGTTACACACCACAAAATTGATAAATAGGCCTGAAATGAAATTCTATCTTGTTATTGATTATACGTTGCCTAGCACGTGACTTAAATCTACCCAGGCGGAGATCCAAAATGACGGTGGCAGGCTTGGCTTAGTTATATCACTCAAAACTCGTTCCAGTTTGTCTGATTTGATAAAGAGGGAATCGTTAATGTTTTCATTAAGACAGTATTGCCTTGATTTTCTAATATTTACAATGAAAGACAGTAAATTTCACTTTTCATCTACATTTACTTCCAACCTTTTCTTTTGAACCAGAAAAAAAAATGATAGACGTTTAAAACACATGACATCATCCACCTTGTCAAATGTAATAGCATTATCATTTCAATTGTAATGCCTTCTTATCCCAACGTTACCTTGTTTCTTTTTGCTACATCAGCGAATACTGAACTACTGCTCGTACTCTAGATATGACAATCAACCACCAAATTTCCTAAACCAGATAACATTAAACATCATGTGTCAAAATCATGTGTCAATTCACGAGTTTGCTCACAGAGCACTTTGATTTAGTTTGGAACAGTAGTGATTTAAATTGGAAAGTGTTTTTTAACTCGAGTGAAGTTTGAAGTATTTTTTATTTTATTTTTTTCATGTAGAGCTAAATCCTCACAACCTGAGTAATGTAAAATGTTTGAGAAAGAGTGAGGAGATTTTCCATTTCAGCGTAGGAACTTACGCTGGTTAACCAAACACTGTACATACGTGCTTTTTGGCAAAACTGCAGTTTTATACGAAGGGGCTTTGAATGTTTTGTTTTTCTCTTTTTGTTTCACATGACTATACATGCATTATAGTTGGAGAAATCGGATCATGCTCGTTTTCTTTAAATCGTTCGCAGATGTTTTAAGTAATGGTGCATCTGTCAACAGAGTGAAATGCTAAATGATAATAGTTTTGAATTGCCATCTCAGCACTATTAGAGAGGAATCGAGGACCGTCTATATTTAGTGAGTTTTAGGGATGTGCTTGTGGGGCAAGATATATAGTTTATTTGAATAGCATTTTAAATATTTAAATACAAAATGGTAGTTAAAGGTTTTATCAAAAGGAATTAATTTGAGCACTTGTGTTGGCCAAATTGGTTGAAGTTGTTTGGCTTTATGGTGCAAGACGTGGGTTAAAAAAAAGAATCGAATGAAAAGATAAGTGAAAAGTAAACAAAGGAGAAAAAATAAATAAAAATTTGTGTTTTACGTAGTTTTAGTTTATTGTTTTTTTTTTAATGGTTGTGTTTTGGGCGGGGGGGGTGAAGGGGAATTGAGTGTAATCTAAGAAGGGGGGTTAATCAGGCATAACAGACATAAACAGGAAGGGAGGAGTGGGGGAGACGCGAAACACGACCCAGACGGGACACCAAGGAGTAAAGAGTGGATTGAAGTTACTTTTTACTTCTCTTATATTACTTACCATATATAATCTTGAGAAAAGTTCCCTTACGTCTGCAGAGAATTCCCATTCTTTAAAGTTGGTATTCTTTGTAAGTAACTTGCTTCAGAGAAAAAGGCGGGACAGGTCCGAAATGTGTGAGCTGTGCATTTTAAAGACCCTCTGTCCAGGACTGATCATTCTATTGCACAATTCATTATGCAACCGTTTATTCATAGTCGCCAGCGTACGGAACACTGCAGAGAGGCTTTTCCTTGGTAAAACCCAAATTGGTGTAATAATGGTCACCGAACCGTGAGGTAACTGGAAATAACCTGCTCATAATGTTGTGGGAGGGAGGGTGAGGATTTTGGATAATTTAGTTCGAGGTTTTGTGAATCTGACTTTTAAAGATCAGACCAAATGAGTGATTCTCCATACTCCATTACAGACTCAATATGTTGACACTATGAAATGTTTATCTTTCATTTTATTCTTAATCGTTAAACTTGTACAATCTTTAGTTTTTTTTTTTAACTTTTATTTGTCAAAAACGTGTTGTATTTTGCACCCTATTTGAAAGATGATTTAAAATTTAGTAACTATTGCAATGTAGGATATACTGGTAAACCGAGTAATACACTTTGGTTGGTATCGTGGTAAAATTAAGTTTTTGTTGATCTGATCTCGCTTCTTATTAGTTGACGAAAACTTAACCTTGGCACTGATTGGTTAGACGAGATTCTCGCTTTCTATTGGCTGTAGAAAAGTTAACCTTGGCACTGATTGGTCAGACGAGATTCTCGCTTCCTATTGGTTATAAAAACGAAACTTTCGCTCTACAAAATTCTAAACTTTTTTTTCCTCTTTTTGTAACCATGTTATTTAAAGAACCTGGCCATATACGATGTTGCTTACATGCAGTAAGAGAAAATACAAAGTTATGTACATAAATGATTTCTAAATATTTACAGTCATTATGCAACGTTATTTTTGGGGAAAAAAACTTAGCTTGCGGAAGAAAGCTTCGCCTTCATGAAGTAAAGCATTGAATTTCTATTTCAGAAGGGTAGCTATCTAATACAAACAGCGAAACTTATTTTTGCGGACAAATCTGCAGAACCAAGAGTTTAAAAAATTTTAAAAAAATGAAGGTAAGATAAATTTCCAAGTTAATGTCAATATAGTTATTTAACAACACTTAAACCCACAGTGAAGTAGCCACCCGCGTTTTCCCGCGCTTCAGACAGACTTCGTGTTCAACCTTGAGTTCTTATTGGCTATATGTGATATTTTCCGTCGCTCTAAATGGCTACATCTATTTATCGCAATCCTTGACTTTTCTAACGAGCTTTACCTTTTTACTCTTTTTTACATCTCATATATTTCGCGATTTGATAACCTTCATAATGCCTGAATACTGATAAAATATTGAATTTTCTGTTTCTATCATTTAGTCCTGAATACAGCTGGGTGGAGGGAGAATAGCAGCTTCAACATCTCTTCTTTTTTGCCCTATTGACTGGAATAGTGCGTCAAATGTCTCCTGTGAACTAATAACGTGAGTTGAACGCGTTCTTCATTCGTAAGTTCCTGTTAAGTTAATGTCATATTTTCTTGGCACGCATACATCTTTACTACGATTCACACGGCTCACAACCACAGGAGGACTTGAACCACTTTTGTCTGTCGAAGGTTTGATAAACACTGCACCGGTAGAATTTATTGAAGGATCGGCGTCGAAGTAATTGAACGGCCGAAGAAAGAACCTGGCCGTGTTCGTAGACGTCGCAGTGTTCGGGATATCTTCGGAGCTCGGAAATTGGATACATCCGATAGAAACCCAAGCGACGAGATCTTGATCAGTAATGTCATTGTTGTCGCCTAGGAATTCTTCGAAGTTGACAATGGGCAGGGTGGGGCTGTTCTGATTGTACACAGAGCTACTCTTTAGCTCGGTATCTTTATAGAGGGTAACAGCAATTGGATAATTCGACCACGGTGCCATCTTGGTGTAACGATCTTCTTTCGGAAGAATTTGTTTCACGGCTGATATCGGTATGACAAGATATCATCTACTTACGCCAAACTTGTTTTTTTCATTACTGTACACATTATAAAAAAAGTTGGCTTTCCGAAGTCGATGTTCTCAATCGCTGCTTCAAGCTCCAGTTTTAGCTGTTCTCGGCGGAATACTATTACATTTTCTCTTTGCGGTGGAAGCCATTTATTTGGTTCGTCGTCTTTACTGATTGAGATTTTTTCAAAATAATTGGAGGTACCATAGACATCAAGATCTATTTTGTAATGGAATGTGTAATCGTGTAGGTTTCCTAGCAGTTTATTCTCAATATCTTGCCCGTATGGATCATCGAGGCTTGTTTGGCCGTTCTCTGTTTGTATGTAGCCGGTGGGTGTCGATTTTACCTCCACAACGCCATTCTGATAGAACATAAAATCGAAGACGTTGTCATGACCGCGCAAAGTGGCAATGGTGCGAATTACTAACACATGACTGGTCATTCCTTCAAAAAAGCGGAACCTTTTTCCAATTGCTTCAAAGTGGCGCCTCAGTGGAATACCGCTGTCCATTTCAAAAACGCATACCGCATTCCTGATTACTTCCGGTTCATTGATGTCCACGAAATGCAGCGTGTCGAAAAACTTGGATGTCTCTGGACAGTCGACGCCGGCCACTAGTTCTAAAGATCTCCTACCCATTGTCCATCCACCATACACAAAATTGGTGACCCTGAAGTATGGGGAGTAGCCAGTGTAAAATGAAATGGCCTCCTGTAAGCTGAGTTCGTAGATTATTCTTTTGTCTTTAAATCGAATGTCGTAGAGTTGAGGGCCTGAAACTGAATCCATTCGAAAGTCGAAGGTCCAACTCATGTACTTAACATGGTGACCGCTGACAAGGAATCTTTTCCCATCAGGCTCAAACATCCTCGGGGCTCGCCTGGAACTCTGGGACTGGGGGCTTCCACGATTTTCGTATGATGAAAATAGAGGTGGTTTTGGCGCGGGGATGAACGATTTTTGAATACCTGACGGTTTATTATAATGAAATAAAAGGTCGTCGACGGTGTTGAATGCGAATCCATTGTAATACACTCTGTCCACTTTCCATTTCGACACGTCCGCGCCAGCAAAATTTATGTAGAGTTGAAAATCAACTGGGTTCAGCGATTCCCCTTCTAGATCGCGAGTGAATTGCAGCCACGTTGTTCGTTCGTTCCTATTTTTACCAAAGGGTCCCTGTGGATGAAATTTTAACAGCCTGTTTGTACAGTTGTTATAGCAGTATCCATCATAACTGTCATTTAAAATCTTAAAAAGCTTGGTTGTGGCTTCTATAACAATCTTCTCTAAGGCCTTGTGTTGTACTTGATCATAAGGGCGAACGTTGAACTCAAGAGGATTGCCGCGTTCTTCGTACGTCATTTCCTTGACGGTGCTGTTCGGCCATGTTACAATGTACTCTCGGACCACTGGTGGGTTGGAATCACCTTCGAAAACAACAACAAGCGCTCTTCTGGCAGGCTGCGGTCTGCCTTTCTCTAAATAATCCAGGACTGCTTGTTTGGCAGGCGGGTACATCTGGATCATGAAAATATAATTTTCCTTCACGGATGCGTTTTCAATCTTCTTTAGTTTCAATGAGGATTGTTTTAACATGAAATTCCTCGCAGCGATTAATTCTTCGCGGGAAAGTTCGTTAAAGATGTTTTGAGTCTTCGGTACTTCACCAAATTCGAGGGTTTTTTCGGCGCACGAATTTGTTTTCAGTTTGTTTGGATATCTCTTTTTGTACTGGGTGAAATCTACCGCAACCACGATGAGAGCTATCAGCAAACCGACACACAATAAGACTAGAACGGTGACAGCAATTTTCCATTTGATGGGTGCACCGACGCTTCCCTTCCCATTCATGACGATCGAGAGAACATGAAATTAAGCCATGATAAAATCGACCATGGAAAAACACGCGAAGCACCTTAGGGTGAAAAATTAACTTACGAAGTATAATGTTAAAAGTAAAAATAATCTTTTTTCCGTAATTCGATCTAGTGTTATAAAGCAGTTAGTTAGTATATAATCAGTAAGTTAGTCAGTTTTGTACAATTGAATTTTTCGTTAATATTTAGAAAGTATTTAATGTAATGTATTCCAAAGTTATTTAGGTTTTTAGCTGTCGTGATGAGTTTCCGAATTGTGACAGCATTTTGAAACTTCCTCAAGTGGACGTGCTTAGTTTATTTACTGACCCACAGGCGACCTAAGCTCCAGCCGTGAGATGATCATCTTGCGAAATAAGAGTCACGGCGAAATTACAATAGTTTGTTGGGGAATATTTACGACCGATCTTATGAATAAAAGTCAAATTCTCAATAAAAATACCTCATCATTTATTGGCAGTACATTGCTTGTTATCTGACCGCTTACTATATCGAAAAGAACCCCTTTTATTGTTTTTTTAGAGGGCACGGTAACGAATCCTGCAATCTGATTGGTTCTTTACCCGGTCAGTATTTTCCTATCTCTGCCCACGGGCCACGGTAACGCTTTCGTGAATCGCCGAGTACATCCCAACTTTCGTTGTCATTTTTCATAAATATACCTCGTTTTGCTGGCTGGGCAGTATTTTTAAGCAAACAAGTCGGTCACTACCTCAAGCCGATAAATAACTTATGAATCCTCTCTTTTCTCTCTATCAAATCACTTTGGTTAACAGGAAAATATTGGTTTCAGAATGAATTTGAATAAACAAAAGTGTCATTACGTTGGCTGACAAGCGGCCTAAAAACCGTCTGCAATTAATTTTAATCGTTCACAAAAAGTACCCAGAAAGTTGAAACGTGAAGTATTTGGCCACAGTTAAACTGAACGATGGAACTTTCATTCATTTAATATCTGAATTTTCTCAAGCAATTTGTTCGTAGTGAAAGAGCGAGCAAAGTTTTAATTTAAGTTCTACAACAAATATACGCTCCCGGTGAGTCTTTCCAATTCCGTTCAATTTAGACATTTGTACCGTAAATTGCACAACAGAAATTGAAGGAATTTTTTGAGAAAAGGCCGCATTAAATTCCCTTGTGTCTCGCTGGAGTGTGCCGTTTGAATTTAGTTTTTGTGAAGGAAAGACCAGAGTCACACACGCCATTGCAGCAAACAAACGAGTAAACTCTCACAACTTCAAAGTAAAAAATTGAATTTACTCACAATTACTTTCCTCGCCGTTTACTTAATGAACAGAGTTAGATATTCGTACATGAATGAATGGTCGATGAGAGTGAATAATACTTTCCGTTAGATCATTGACTGATTTTGAAGAAAACATTGTCGTGACAGTCCTTGCCAAACTAGTTCTGATGTTTTTCAAATGTTCCTTCGCTTTTTTTTTCTTGCGCGCTCTCTAATTGACAGGTGTCAGATTGTGACAGATACTTGTAAAAATAATGTTTCAAAGTTTGTTTGGAAGCCTTTTAAATCACCTTTATCGTTACGGAAATGTAAATGTTTCGCTGAGGCATCTCTCTTTAATTTGCATCACCTCTATTTTAACTTCCATTTACTCACTCAAAAATTGTTCAGTTTATGGAAGATCTCGCCGTATTTACAGCCCTAAATCATTCGGGTTCTTTCGGAAAGAATTTCGTCAAGTTTAAAAACAATAAATATGTTATTTACCGGCTAAGGGTCGGTCCGTATGGTGAAAAACTGTGACCTCGGTCTTGAAAATGCTGCCCTCGGCCTACGGCCTCGAGCAGTATTTTCAAGACCTCGGTCACAGTTTTTCACCATACGGACCTCCCAGCCGGCAAATAACATATATGTATTTTAGCGAGTTGTCTATTTCTAGGTTTACTACTCACAAGGCCCATAAGAGAAGCCCTCTTATACGTTGTAACGAAGTCTCCAGAAATTAATAGAACGTTGATTTACCACAACGCTATTGCATAAGCTGAGCTAAAAACTTCTCCATATTCCGGAACATTCTATTGAGTTATTTTAAGGATATGTCATCATTAGCGTCTAGAATGTTCTTGCTGCTAAAAACAATGTTTCAGATCGGCTACTATAAATAAGTAATCGGCTACTATAGATAAGGTTCGGGGTCGTAAGGTTTCCAGAAGTTTAAGATAAATAATATAGTGTTTAAAAAGGAAAATAAGGATCGTCTCCTGGCTTCGTGACATACGTACCTTTGTGTTGTGCGTAAAACGGCGGCAACGGACGATCGAAAATTGAAGTAAGAAACCAAAATTAAATGTGCAAGAAAAAAAAGAGTCTATTACATCTAACAATTTTGGATTTTTTTAACAATCTTTCTTTGATTTTTTCCACTTCGACTTTTCTCTCTGGCAAATGGAGTGGACGAAGGAGTATGATGTGTTGCTATTACGAGAATGTCAGCCGGAAATGTGTTTGTTGTGAAAAAGGGAAGCCTAGAGCGTGGTCTGGTATAGGAGGCCATAGTAGAGACATTGAATGAAATTGACTCTCCAAAGTTTCAACTCAGAGACAAAAGAGCAGTGAGAGAGAGATGGATGCTTCTGAGGAAGAAATTTACTAAGAAAATGAGCGAGGAAGAAAAAGGGAAGTGGAATCTCTCCGGATGATTTGCGGACGCGGATTCTTCCTCTTAACAAGAGTATAAAGAAACGGCTGACGGTATAGGAAAAAAAGTAATGGAAAACTTAAGGGAGACGAAGAAACGGAGATCAGAAAAGGATGGATCTCCAAATGCTGCAAGTCAGGCCAGATATACGCACAACCGCTCGCGGCGTTTGACATAAAAAAAGAAAGAGCAGGGAAGTCAGGAGCAGGTTATGCAAACACTCCTGCGAAAGCAACAGCAAATGAACACCATGTTTCTTTCGGTTTTACAGAAGGTGATAAGTAAAGTTGTTTTCATTGAGCATGATATTTTCTTTTGATTTAAGTAACATATGTTCAATTGAAGCTATAACTTCTATAATATCATTGTGCAACTTAAGGTGGTTATCACCTGGAAAAATACATAATCCCCAGTGCCACTGTTATGTTCATTCTGACTAAGACTAGGACTAGTACTGGAAGTGCGAACTGTGCTCGTTGCTGTATTATATGCTTTCATTAGTAGTGTGAGATGTGCCCGACGAAATTGGCCCTGTAGAAGAGTCCGGAGGGGATATGCGGGATCCCCGTAAACACGCATAGGTGCTCTTGTAGGGGAGAAGGCAAATCGTCCTAAGTCATTTTGGAGCCCAAAATCAGCCAGCATTGCAGCATCGTGCTTACATCCCTCCGAAAAGTATCACAAGAGGTTTATTCTAGAGCAAATAATATTCAATAAAGAGAATTTATTGTCTCTTAGGCACCCCTTACTCTTGCCATATTTTGACAAAACTACGCCTAACAACTTTAATAGACCGTTTAGAGCAGACAGATGTCGAAAAGTAAAAAAAATTATCAACTTGAGGATATTATTTGGATATAACACCAAATACTCAGGTGTAGATAAACTAAAACCAAGCTCAAAACTGTTTATCTTTTGGCATATTTTAACCAGCCAAGTTAGGGAAAATCTTTACATTACGTGTGTCTATGTATTGGATAGAACAATGTAAATAAAGTGCTCAGCTACTGATCCAAAGATATTTCCAATTAATCGCTGGGTAACGGACTGAGATTTTAGCCCATGCACTCTCGTGTGTCCATTGTAAACGACTCTTTGCCCAGTGTCAGGTCTTGAGTTGGCCGAACAGATCCATTTGTAAAGCCCAAGCAATTTTGTAGTGGTGACCCTTTTCTCGATATTGCTTCTGCATATATCTGAAGAGCCAGAGGGTTTGGAACATTTCCGTTCCAATCTGTGACCATGGGTTTTCAAAAATAAAATTTAAGACTTCATTGGTAATCAAACTCAAAACAGACACTGGTCTTGGAAATCGTGTAATCATGTCACTGCATCGACAAGGGTAGCTCGTTCGCCTCAGAAGCACACACAGCCCCTCGAGACCATCACAAAGTCTCCTCTGTCTGCATTTAGTCATCGGAGGAATTTGTAAAACATCGGCAAGTCGGCAAAGAACAGCCCTTTCGATTCGAATTCCGCTTTGCAATCAGCTGAGGACGTATCATCTGAGTCGAATTGATCGTAAGACTCAAAAATCTGGATTTTTCGACAGAAAACAATCGTAAAGAAAAGTGAATTCTTCATCATAAATGGTGTTTTCATCGTGAGGTAGCAAAGGGCGGGGGGGAGGTACGGGTACACGTAGGCATAAGAAAAAGTGAAAATACGAGGGACTTGAAGCAGTCAGAACCTTTCAACCGTCATATCTCATTTGAATCGTGATACTGATGGGAAGGATTGAGTTCGGACGACGCAAAATTTAGGTCATTTCACGTTGTCGTTTTGCATTGGAGGATAATGAAATGTACAAACTTTAAGATGGATATGTACGGCTATTGATGTCCTCATTAGAGCTGCCGTGGGGGTTTGGTTTGCTTAAACCCTAGTTGGAACGTGATCCGTTTTTAATAACTGACTGTGTCACAACAAAGCTCTCTATGAAATTTGTCGTAGGCGCCATCTGGCATGGCTCAAAAAAACGTCGATGGTGAAGAGGCATAGCTTCCTCAGAAATTCTTTCATAATTTTTATTTCCACAGCAAAGCTTTATGGGTAGCAGTAAATTAAGAATGGCCAAAGCACACTATTTACTCTAGTAAAACTACTTTTTTCTCTTTCTTACGATCCAGCCCAAACAAAATTGAGAACACAGGTTTTTTGTAAATGTACCATTTTAAATGAATATCATTTAAGAAGACATACTCGCCGTCTAGCTTCCACTGAAGGCGTACACTATGCAATAAATCCTTTTAAAAAGTGTCAAAGACCACTGTCCATGAACGTCAGCTCCTCCTCTTCCTGTGGTATGTCTATCTTCTCGTCATGCTGCCTTATCAAGGCACGTAATAATCTGTGAGATCTTTGTGGAGGAGGACATAACCCACGAATAGTGGACGAAGAAGTTCCAAAGTTATTTGTGTTTACTGATGAAGAAATTGCAAACCGTGCGCTGTCACCATCACTTTTGGCAGAACATAAAATCATTATGTATGCTTTTCTGAATTCTGGAAACTTTTGCCCGTAAAGAATGGGATTAAAAAGTGAATTACTGTATTGCAACATTTTGACTGCAAAGATTGCGTTTGCGGGTAATACAGAGTGGTCGTCTTGTATGAAACGAACCAAACCCAAAGAAAAGAATGGCAGCCAGGCAATCAAAAACAAGCCTATCATGATAAGAATTGTTTTAGTCGCTCTGACATCCCGCTTCAGGCTGGAGCTATGGTGAAATTTAGCAATGTTGCGTTTGATAGTGACCAAAGTTATTCCTTGGGCTAAAAAGATCAGAACAAGAGGCAGGAAGAAACACAGGCAAATAACTGTCATGTTGTACGCTTGTGGCGAATTCCTATTTCCAGTTACAGAGAGCCCTGACACTAGCGTTGCCACTGACCAAGCTACGAAGATTATAACCAGATATTTCGTTTTAGTGTATGAACGATGCTTCAGCGGCCATACAATGGCACACAGTCGATCCCAGCTTAGAGCCATTAGATGAAATATGGACCCCACTCCGCTAAGGATCTCAAAGACATACCATATTTCCATGAGAACGCTATACCAAGTAGACCTTTGATTTTCCTCTTTGTGAATAAGGATTAGCCAACCAGGTACGGAAACGAGACCGACCAGTAAGTCCGCCACAGCGAGGCTAATTATTAGGCAGTTGGTGCGCGTGCGCAATTTGGCATACTTGATGAATGAAAAAAAATAACAAGTGTGTTTGACAAAATAATAGTGAGAGCGATAAAGCTTAGGAGGAGACTCCAAACAACCAATGGTCCAACGGTGACTGATTTGTAATACCCTTCAGAAGTGGCATCGTCTGTCGAATTTCTTGAAAGTCCTTTTAAAAGGAAAAAAAAAAAAAAAAAAGGAGATGTAAGTGTTCAGCAGTTCACCAAAAAGTAACTTGTTTCCTTGAAAACCCAAGGGGACTAAGCTAGAAATCTGGATCTCTTTGTCAGTGACTCGATAGCCTGTCGGTTAGTGCCTTTCTCCACCCAAGACTGTAAGTTGGTCCCGGCGATCTCTGAGGGAAACCTGAGGAAATGTTGTGGGATAACTTGCCATGGACTATTCTGTTCATTCTACGGAAACTGAGATTTATTTGATAAGCTTCTCAGAAACATTTTATGACCTTTTTTTTGGTGAAGTTGAGGAATAGAGGCCCAGTTCATTCATCAATCAAAATAGAGAAGTACACATGCATAGAAGCACTCTGATCACCATAACTTCTTACCGAGTTACCTTAGCTGTCTTAAGTCCTATTTCTTTACCATTTCGAATTTACTGATCAGGTCTAACTTGGGCTGATCAGGCCTAACTTTGAACATTGCAGCGATAATAAGAGTTGTTTGCCAAAGATATACAACAAGTGAAATAATTCATATTAATGAGTATTATGTTTTCACCAGATTCCTGGCAAATACATGAAGGAGAATATTTTGTATCCAGAGATTTTGGTTTCTCTAATATGTGTTCTGGTCTCTTGCTTAAGTTTGAGTTCGCCCGCAATTCATCTTACGCCACCATCAATCCTCCTCGTTTTTCCTTTGGCTCTTTTTTCTGTTTTTCCTCAAACTTAAGAGAGAACATGTCATTATCTGTGTCAGTTTCAAAATTGTTACTCCACAGAGGTGAGGAAAAATAAACAAACAAAATTACTTTTTTCCGAATTGTGAGACTAACCAAACTGACTTCAATATTAGAAACAAGAAGACACTGTGTATCTTAGTTGCTACCACCTTTAGTGGTTCAGGAAATTTTCGTGATTTATTCTGGTGGGATCTGTAGGATACTATTAATGGGATTTCTGTTCTTCTCTTGTGTTAGGATTTTTGTAGATGTAATTTTTTAATCAGTGTCGCTTCTATTTGAAGTCTCTCCCGTGAAAGATTTTATCAAATGATTGATTTTCAGGAAGAGGTTTTGTCTTTCTTCTCGGTACGGTAGCTCCTTTGAGGAGCGACGAACGAGCTTTTACAGCCACAGACAACTGCCCGCAAAATTGCGGTAATCCTTTAAGTGTTTCCTTTATCTTAATGGTTTTTTAATTGCTCGTTATCAACAAACTCTGTCTTACAAAGTCTAAATTTTATCCACTATAAAGTTCAAAACTCCTATACCAATACGTGCGAATTGCTTAAAAATGTGGCTTGTGCACTCAATGCAATATTATTCCAAACGTGTTAAAACTGACCGGAATTTTTATAAATTTACCTGCAGGTGTGGGCTGATTTTTCATGTTATTCAATGATGTCAAAAGATATCTGTGATGAAAGAAAAATAAAACTAGTTAAGATGAATCGTAGTGGCAACGACGTTTTTGTGTACTCTGCTAAAAAAATGGTACCGTACTGAACAAATGTCAACTTCTGCCGGTCACTTAACAACTTAAAAGATACCTTAGTGAGTGCATTAAATCATCTTTAAAAGAAATGAAAATTAGCTGTACAATTTTCAGATACAAGTTGTTATATGCCTAACACAATTGGCCGAAATTTAAAGTGGAAGAAACAATCGAACTCGTACACTGAAGGATGTTATACTCCACGAAATGCGAACGAATATCGATCATAAAATCTTGCTTTCGTGAGACTCGCAAAAGTGTTGTTATCCACGCAATAGCCAAGCCAGACATTTTCCAATTTAAAGTTTGTCATCATGAAGAGTAGTTTTCTATTAAACTCAACTTTACAAACCTGGTCAAAGTATGAAAAGAATGGCTTGGGTCGAAAAACAAACGAGCCTTCTTGGGTGGAAAGGTGCTAATGACACCTTTGGGAGAATGTTTTCTTTGTTTTGTTCTTAGCCTTCAAAGCAGATAATTAGTATTTGGCTCATTAAGTAGGCAAAATTTGCTTTTCCGCTCTCTTACCTTTGACTCGGAAGCCAAATGCCGCTTTTGTTTGCGAATGAACAGTGTTTTTCAGTAATTCATTTGCTGTGTGATGGCGCAAGGTTTAAGTCGTTCTTTTAAGTTTACAGCAGCTGATCGTCAATCCATCAAAACGTAAATATTTAAATACAATCAAGATGTGTTTCTCTGAAAGCTGCTGGCTAATCTGTGAGGGCTTGCCTTGATTAGCATTTGCGGGAATCTTTTTCGTGCTTAAAAAAGGGACATTTTGAAATGAAATCTAAAGCGAATAATATCTTTAAGTTTAAAGAATTAAGGATATCGGTAATCACCCAAACCTGAGTAAGATTGGAAATGGTTTTTTTTTAGATTTGTCGAGCAAAAATTGTACGCGAAATTCGAAAATGGCTTGCTTCTATGTCATTAACACTTGTGGCCTGTTGTGATTGTATGACTCTACGGAGTTCTTTGACTTGGTAATTTTAGGACGATGAGAAGAGGAAATGGTCGATTTCGAACGATGAGTGCAAACCCACCTTAAATACTTTCTAAAGAGGGTCAAATGGTACATTCTGAAATGATATTAAACAAAACGCAAACGATAAATTTCAATAATATAGATAACACAATTGTTTTGCTGTTCTCAATAGTTTCTCTTAGTAATGCTAAGTGCAGCTGCGAAGTTGACAAATCCAATATCACTCCTTGAGTCTGTTTATGAACAAGAAGGTGACAACTGTTCATCGTCAACATTTTCAGATGCAAAATTTGAATTATTAACCAAGGAAACGACAAAATTGCCATTTCTACTGTTTTCTATCACCACCAGTTGACTTAAGCCGTTGCAAAATGGAAACCTATGTTGATAGCCATACATGTTAATGCTTTTTTTATTCTGTTTTAGCCATCTCTACGAACCATGCGCCGACTGAAATCTGAAATTTGATTAATCCGCAACGAAAGCATTTCTACCCCTTAAAAAAAAAAAAAAAAAAAAAAAAAGACTCTCCGTGGACACAAAAACCATTAAGGATTCGGGAATAATTGTCAAAAAATATTTTGGCTGGTAGATATGATACCTTTTTCATATTAATCATCCGCTTCCTATTAGCAGTACTGTAAACACTCGGAAGTCGTTTACTTAAGAACTAAGAGTTAATTACAAATGAGAAAAGGACTCACTGATACGATATCATCAATTTCGTGGGAGAGCTATGCACACATGCTATTTTTCCAGCATCCTTAAAGAAACATTCAGGAAATAATTATTTTTTTACATTCATTATTTTCAATGCAGCTTTTTCAACTGCAATATTGGTCAAAAGCTGATTTAACAAATATATGTTCATCCCTAGAGCATGATATTTCGCTTTACTCCTGTTTGAAGCCATGATTCATTTGAAAGGTGAGAACAGATAACTAAATAGCATTGTTCAGGGTTTCAGAAGGTTTTTTACAAACCCAATAGGGGGCGTCCTGACTTGAAATGCGCTTTGAACAGCGGGAGACAAATTTAAAGAAACACGAGATAAGTTATGCAAAACTGAGCTTGATCATGGTGTGTGAATGATTGATCAAATATTCTCGAGTTGCTAAACGAATTAGAGAAACATGTCCGAAATGTGTACACACCATCGTCTATGCGAAGTGTAATTACTTCCCCTAAATTTCATTCGTCGAAAATTTTTTAGTGATGTTAGCAAGGGAAAATGATCGTTGCTGAAAAATCTAGGGATATTCTTAATAAAAACAAACTTGCAATTGAGGCTTGAAAATAATGATTGGAAGGGAGAAAACGTAACGTACAAAAACAAATCTGGGATGTACTCGCACGAAAGCTGCTTCAAATCGTCTCTACTTTTCGTAATCTCTCGCTTTAAGAGATGCGTAAGACGTTTGCGTGTAAGTTTATGTGCAAATTTTTGTTTCATGTACAGAAGTATAGAATAGTGTGGTATTTAATCTTGTGCATAATGCGCTATAACTCCCAACCGCACCAGTTGACTCTATTTCCTCTTATTCTGACAATCTTTTTGTTTTCAATTCATTACAGCAGGAATCGAATCAATGACGAGCACGAACCAAGTTCAATTTAAGAGTGTTTACATTATGCACCTTTTTATTAAAATTCTTAACATTGAATTATAACAATTTTTTAGTTGGCGATGCACAATGTCATACCTGCACGCAAAATAGTTGCTATGTCCATTTATATTTTCTCAGACTACAGCAATTCTGGTAACGTGGAAACTATGCGTGACCTTTGTGACAACCTCGTTATAAAATAAAAAATGATGATTTGCTTATACACGTTTTATTTTTTCCAAATACTTCCACTCCGATGTAAAAAGATTAAAATCAATCGGGCAGAATATTTTCTATCATTTTCCCTTTACCCTAAATGTCATGGTCACCACTGAATACAGATCGTAGAAAACTGTCAAACGTTTATGAAGCAGCACCTTACAAAGCGGTCTCCCTTTATTAAGCGGTCGTATTCGCCCTTCACCGAGTCCTAACGGCGTTTTTGTGGTGTCCTCTACCTGTACTTAACAGTCACTTAAAGTGGAACCATTCAAATGAAATAATAATAATCTTTCAGGTTAAATTTGATCCATTTTCCTCCCGAAATCAATGTTAGTAGTATTTTTGAATGAGTCTTTGTACATGTAGTAGTTAATCATGG